GTGTTCTGTATGCTTCTTGAACCTTCATAGGTACATCTTTCTTTAGGTTGGGAAAGTTTTCTTCTATAATTTTATTAAATATATTTTCTGGGCCGTTGAGTTGCACCTCTTCTCCTTCTTCTACTCCAATTATTCTTAGGTTTGGTCTTTTTATTGTGTCCCATATTTCCTGAATGTTTTGTGATGAGAATTTGTTGGTTTTGCTGTTTTCTTTGATCAGTGTGTTTATTTTCTCTATGGTATCTTCAGTATCTGATATTCTTTCTTCTATCTCTTGTAATTTGTTGGTAGTACTTGTCTTTGTAGTTCCTGTTTGTTTACCCAGATTTTCCATCTCCATCCTTCCCTCGGTTTGTGTTTTCTTCATTACTTCCATTTCATTCTTCAAGTCCTGAACCGTTTCCCTTACCTGTTTGATTGCTTTTTCTTGTTTCTCTTGGTTTTCTTGGGTATCTTTGAGCAATTTATTCATTTCCTCTCCCTTTTTGTTTGTAATCTCTAAATGTTTATGGCAGTTTTTCACCTCCTGTTTAAGGTCCTCCATTATTTTCATATAATTCACTTTTGAGTCTATTTCTTCTAATTTTTCTGGAGTAGGGTGTACAATTCTTCTTATTTCTGGATCCCTGGATTCTGGTGATTTCATGTAGCCTTTCAGGTTGTTGGAGGAATTCTTTCATTGGTGCCTTCCCATCTCTTCCTTCAAATCGAGCCAGGAGAGGTCTGGTGTCTTGGTCCAGACTTTGCTGTGACTGACTCTCTGGGTGTATCTCCTCAGTGTAGAAGCAGGAACCGTTGTCGTCCAGATGAAACTCCTCAGCACCAAAACATGGACGACTGGTAGTCCAATGACCCGCAGACAAAAGGGGGAGCTTGGGGGGCAGGGCGGGGATGTGTAGAACACAGGAGACCATGCCACGTAAGCTGAAGGTACCTGCACTCCCTTTGGGGGTTTTTGAGGCCTTCCCAGTAGTAGGCAGGCACTCACTGCTCTGGGTGGGTAGCCTTAGTGTAGGAGCAGAAACCTGTTCCTAAGCAAAGGACCTTGCAGATCAGGCAAGCATCTTGGGGGGGGGGAGGTCGTGTGTAAGATAGACAGCCCTGCAGAAGGAGCTTGGGGAGGGGGGTTTGTGCTCTCTTCCGGGACAATCCGCTGCTGGATAGCACACACTCACCAGTCCAGATGGAGCTCCTCAGCCGAACTTTGCCTTTCTTGTTAGCTTTGACTTTTTCACTGGTTTACAGAAGTTGGACATCCTGAAATATACATTTTCATAATCTACATTACAAATGATTACACTTAAGTGACCTTTGCAATGTGTTTCTGCCCAGTATGTTTCTGGCATGAATCTTTATTTTTCTTTTCCTTTTTCTTTTTTTCTTTGTGTGTGTGTAGGGGGGGGCAGTAAGGAAATAAAACAATCACTTAAATTCTGTGCTTAGAAATAAAGACTACTGTTTCATTTCTGCTCCACTGAAACAGGATGTTTAATATCCAAACATAGTGTTAAAAGTAAAAATTATATGGAGGTACTTTTCAATAATAAAATCAAAATGTATATGGAGCATGTGCATATTATGAAAAAAGGCAGTTATAAAAGTATTCATTCTTTCAGGTCTATTAATGTCACAATAGACTTGAGGGCTGAATGATTTAATTATACTTTTTAGCAGAGAGTTAGTGCTAATAGTTAAGCAGTATTAAAAAGACCATAGATAAGTGATATCTCATTTTCAAAATCATGGTATATACTGTAAGTGTCAGCTGTAGAATAATTTTACAGAAATGACCTGATTTCTGCATTGCTTCCATTAGAAAAACCAAAGTGGTATGCCCACTGGAAGTACATTTGGACCCATGTTACAACTTTACTTCTATGATCACCCGTCATTTTTAATGAACTTAACTCCAATTTTAAATGTTGATTTGGCTTCCTCTTTTCTTCACAATTATTCCCTTACTGTTCTCTACACTCCTATGAATTAGCATTCAACAATTACCTCACCGAAGAAGAAAGACCATATGTAAGTCTTTAAAATATTCATCATACTTAGTGCAGAACTAGAAATTTTAGTCAGCATAATCATGGTTTTGTATTTATTAGTCATAAAAGTTCATTTTACAATTTATTTTCAATAGTTTTAAAACATTAATAGAGATATATAGATACATACATAGATACATACATAGATAGATACATAGATAGGTAGAATATTACATAAAGTTTTAATTTTAGACAAGGTCTTGCTGTGTAGCACAGACTAAACTTAAATGCATGATTACAAGCATGAGCCACCACATTGATGTGGGATTCTCCTCTGCATGCTATAAACATGTTTTATTATCATTGGTTATTAAAGAAGCTTTTTTTGTCCAATGGCTCAGTAAAGCCAGACTGCAATCCTAACAGACATATAGAGAGAAAGTAGGCGGAGTCAGGGAGATACCATGTAGCTGCGAAAAGAGAAATACGTGAGCTGCCAGTCAGAATCTTACCATAACCCCATGGTGATTCACAAATTAATAGAAATGGGTTAATTTAAGATGCAAGAGTTAGCTAATAAGAAGTCTAAGCCATTGGCCAAATGGTGTTTAATTAATATAGTTTCTATATTATTATTTGCGGCCTGGGCAGCCAGGAAACAAATGAGCAGTGTCTGCTGCACATGGAAATTTACATTTTCTGTGACATGAGAGATGACAGAATTGAACATGCCAATGAGAGTTGAGTGTATATTTTAAGCAAAAGTTTTGATGAAGAATACATAGTCATGGAAAGCCAAGTGTGAGAAAAAAAATGGGAACAATTTAACAAAACACACTATTGTACATCTCTATGATGTTCTTTAGAGGCAATGTCATCTTTTTCCTATAGGTATAAAGTTGGCATCACTGGACTAAAGGTCATAGAACTTATTCAACAGGTAATTAAAAGAATTCTTTTTCGGGTGCTTTAGAGGAAGAAGGTGAAAGAATGGTAAGAGGGACCTTTCTTTTTTCTATTCCTTTCATCTTCATATGGGCTATGTATATTTTATATGTATTTCTACATGGATATACATATATTTATATACACACATATAATAAATTCATACATACAGAAATGGAGGTAGTTTCCTGATTATGCATCTATGTGGTTTTATTTAACAAATATGTTCTAACAAGCTGTCCTACATGTTATATATGAAACGTTTCTGTCCAGTTAAAAGATTTTCAAAGCTGGTGAGCTATATAACTGCGATAACCCTTGTACTTACTTGTGTGATGTGCCCTACACACACCATACTTCATCCAAGTTCCTCCAAATTGGAAGTTCCTCAGAATGAACTATATTTGAAGAAAGAGGTAATTAAGATAAAAAATTATTAAGTTATGTGTTTATACTACATGAAAGATAGCCTTTTATGAAATGGGGATTTGAACACACACAACCAAACAAGTAAGGAATTACACAAGAAGGCAGCGTTCTGCAAGCCACCACGAGAGAGGCCGCATAAGAAACTTACCTTTCACTCAGAGTTCTAGCCTCTGGATATATGAAAAAAATTGTGTTGTTGAAAGCACCCAGTATGTGGTACTTTATCATGGCAGTTCTAGCAAACAAATGTGTGTGTGTGTGTGTATTTACAGTGCCTCTGAAATATTATAAGGATCACATTCCTTAATGCAAAGTTACAGCTTTACAAAGAATGCCAGAGAGCAATATGAAAAATTGTCCACCATGCACAACAATATGGTGAAGCTTTATGAGAACCTGGGAGAATACTTCATTTTTGATCCAAACACAGTAACTATAGAAGACTTTTTTGGTGATCTCAACAACTTCAGAAGCCTATTTTTGGTGAGTAATGTATTTTAAAACATGGTAAGTCCTGTTGATTGGTTTTTAAAAACTTGAATTGACATCTTTATACATCTAATGACTGTACTTATTCCATGTTATAGACCTTTATCCCCAGCAAGAAGGTCAACAGCCATATTATTTGTCATTTGAGATGTCTTCCTGTCACCAAAACAGTTATTTGTTAAGTGGGACTCTTAATCAGTGATATTGCCCCATAAAGTGGTTTGATTTAAATAGGACTTAGACAATTTTAGATAAGAATAGTCTTGGGGAAACCACTTCCTCCTACTTCTTTAGATAAAAATCAGGGCATATCTGAAAAGTTGAACCAACAACTCTGGTAGTAGTACAAACTACACCAAACTTTGATAAATATCTTAATTGCTTTTTATGTCCTTGCTGAAAATAAAAGCTGAGATTGGCTTTTGAACCTTAACGAAGATACATATTTAATTTTTCAGCTCACCCATAATTACTCTGTGTTAGCAATAAGAGAGCTCATAAAAAGTAGTCAGACAATTTTCAAACTGTGAAAATTATAAATATAATATGGATGCATAAACACATGAGTAACACTCCTATCTCTAGTTTCTCTTTCCATAGTTCAGGTCAATTAGAGATCTCAATAATTAAATGAAAGATTCCCGAGGTAACCAACTCAAAGGTTGTAAATATCTTTTATTATAAGACATTGGTATAATTGATTACTTTCATTATTATTGTTAATCTTTTCCTGTGGTTAACTTTTCTGACATACAAACTTGGTGTACAACTTATTGGCAGTCTTGAATTGGGTCGTTCATGTAACCTCTCTGAGCATTGATTTCCTGTAACCTATGATGTGCAAATGAAGGGTATTATTATTTATTCTCTGACCATTCTTTTAATTACTTATTGAGAATCAGCTTGATTTGATGTGCTGAGCCAGACATTAAGGGAAGAAACTGTTTGTCTATTTTCTATGAGTCGAGGCAGTACATTCATTAGAATTTACTGTGTGTTGACATATAGTAATATGTTAGGATATAGTAATAATACAAAGTAGGAAGAGACTAATTCTGCTTGTAGTGACCAGAAAAGTCTTCATAAGGACCTTGACATTTGGACAGAGTCTGGAAAAAAATCCATAGGAGTTTGACAAGCAGACTTTGATAAACATGTTTAAGGGTTTTACACCTGACCTATAAGTCAAAGACTCCTAAATCAACATCTCCGGCTTCATTCAATCACTGATGCTCACCATGTTCCTGTTTCATGGTGAGCTTAAAGTGATTTCACTCTCTCAGGGGAGAGAAGAACCCCAAAAGAGAGACAAAAATTGGAATCGCTAGAAGTTCCTATTTTCTTAGTGCTTTGTGTGTTTGGCCTCAGGGTTCTTAGCACTAAAAGCATATTGGACTATAGATGGAAGCAATAAAATACCAGTAGTGCTGAGAAGAAAATAAGAGTTCTGATTCATGTGCTACCAAAAATGACTTCCAAATGAGCTCAGAGTTTCATCTTGGGACATCTATTTGGCATGTGTAGCATAAACAAAATGCATATGACAAAAAAAGCTTCCTCAGTCATCTTCTGAGAGATAGAAAATACAGAAATAAAGAAAAAGAGCTGACATTATAGATTAAGTCCTTTTTCAAAATTCTCACATTCCAATGATGGAAAAAGAAATTAGGAAATATCTAGGGGATAGTGATCTATTCATTGTTAATATCATGTATATTATCTATCACTCAGCTAGTGAGTATATTGAAGCTATTCAAGACATAGATTTATATGTATATGATATATATATATATATAATTAGATACATCTCCAAATTCATAATGTAGATTGCCTTATTAGTTCTTTTATCTGAGATTTCGTCAGTTTTTAAAATGGCATAGAGGCAACATTATTTAATAACCCCTAAATTCAAGTTGAATATTTTATGGAAGAAACTCAATTCCATATTTATGTACTGTTTAAATAAACATCTTTTTGCCTATTCTCCTTTTTGCTTCAATCACTCTACTAGTTCAAATAGTTGACTGCACAAATACTCTTTTCTTTGAGATATTTTGAATAGAATATTCAGAACCAGTGAGCCTTATATGTTTCACCACCATACAATATGAAAATTAATTTCAGCTGTTGGAAAAGTGTTTGAGGCAAGTATTTTACTTCAATAACATTCATAGCTCCAAATAAATTATAGAAAATACTTCTTTTCTCTTTTAAATCTGTCAGATTTCTGCTGCTTCTGAGTGTGTTTTTTAATAAACAGTATGTTACCCAGGCACTCAATAAATATTTGTTGTGTGTGTCTTCATTCTATACCTCATATACTAGAAATAGAGGAATAAAACTTTGTAAAGTTGTTAAATGTATTGACAGAACTTAAAAAGATGTTTTTATAACTATTAATTATTCCAACAGATTTTTCCCTCAACAAAATAAATATGTGCAACAGTTTATTTGATAAATAAACTTGGGAATAGCTTTTACATAAGCATTAAAATGGTGAATGTGTTAGGAGGATAAATGGCATCTTGTACTTCTGAAATGTTTCTTGACTCAGTCAATTTTTCTAACCTTATAGACACTATTTTAGTTTTGACTCACAACCATATCTGTGATTCTTTCTACATTAGGAAAAGTCAAATCTTGAAGGTAGAATCAGAAAAAGACAGCAATGAGTTCCTAAGAGATGCTAGAGTTTGGCAGAACAGAGAAAAACTTTGGTAATCCAGATTCAGTAATAAAGAAAGTCTGACACGCTAACATGTAATTGTTAAAATATTTACTTGGTCCTATAGGGAATTATAACAACGCAGGCACTAGTATGTCATTTTCAGAAATAATATTCTGTGTTAAAAAATGATTCCTTTAAACTCTTAACTTTTGTTTTGAGACATGTTTTCAAGTACTCAGGCTAGCCTTATATTAGTTGGTCCTCCTGCCTCCATCCTTTTAGTGCTATGATTACATGCATAGACCACAGTGCCAGGCTTCTCCTTTAATTTTGTAAAGCAGTACAAACACACACACACACACACAAAAACCAAACAAACAGAAAAACTGCTATTCAAAATATATGAAATGTTATAGGAAACTGCATTAATTCTAGGAGAAAACCCAACATGAAAAAATATTCTGTTAGGGATATCTGTGTAACCATTTTCACTTATGGATATACTTCAAATTTTAATGCACAGATCTACTCTTTAACTTTTTTTTTAAAAAAAATCTCATATTTTATATGCATGAGTGTTATGCCTGATGTATGTCTGTACATTGCTTTTATACCGGTGCTTTCACAAGCCTAGAACTGGAGTTATAGAGGGTTGTGAGCCACCATGAAGGTTCTGGAGATTCAGTCTGGGTTCTCTAGAAAAGCAGCAAGTTCACTTAAATACTGAGGCATTTCTCAAGTCATAGAAACACTTAATTTTAAGAAGTCCTCATTTGCCTTATGCCATCATCCCCTTGAGAGTACTTTGATCTTCCTTGAGTCTAAACTGTAACTGATAAACAAAAATGAGCATCTTCATTTTGTTAGACTCAGGACTAAATTGGTAATATACAGAACATTTTCATTCTTCATTAAAGGCAGTTTGAATTTAAAGAGGCAAGGGTGAGTTTTTACAGACAAAGATTGTGTATATAATTCCTGATCTAAGAGGACTAAGTTATTTGACACATTTTAAAACCTTAATTTCCTAAGCTCTTCACATTTAAATGAATGATTAGTGCTGTACCCCTTCAAAAAGAAAAGGCAAAAAATAATGGGCTTAAAAATGAAACACTTTGTTTAACCAAGTAAAGTCTTAATCAGTAATAAAACTGTTGTCTAAAATCTTATCACTCCCAAGTCTCTAGTAATTCAGAGGCAGGTTGCCTTAGTAACAATAATCCAAACATTCCTAATAATCTCTTCTCCCTACCGCTCCTCAAACTGAACTCAAACTCCTACAGTTTGTATTCCCATGGGCACATCTGGAGTTACCACATACTTGCATGCATGTTGATTACATGTTATCTATGGTTACCCTTTGACATTTGCTCACAAGTCAGCTAGGAAATTGGACAAGACAATTTGCCATATATTGCTCTAGTTCTCAACTGGACAAGATCTTTTTTCCCATAAAGCTGTTTTGAGTCACCTTCTACGGAAATATGGACGACAGGCCCAAAGTACAGTGTCCTGCTGTGCCAATTTTTGCCACAAGTTCTTGAGTGCTTAAGAAGTCATGATTCATAGAACACTTCATAAAAACAGTTTCTTTCCCTTCTCTCCTGACCTCCTTCTCCTTAGAAACTCTAAAAAATGTTTTAAGTCCTAGCTTCCTGAAAGACTAATACCATAAACCCCTCACTGCCCTCCTTCCTCTTTTGTTCAGTCATCACAGCTTATAACTTCCCTTTTCTAGAAGCCAAGAATAAATAAAATGCCAGCATAAATCCTGTCATGCAAATACAGCCCTAAGGGCCTACCCATTCCCTCTAGTTAATCACATACACCCAGATAATTCCCTTTGAGCTCAGCTGCGACCACCCTAGCTACATAGGCCTCGGTATATTTTGATCTATTGCAACTCTTTGAAAATAGGAGAACCATGTAAAATATATGGCAATTCTATTAAGTAGAATATTTGACCAGAATTCCTCATTCCAGAGCTGTCGAAAGACTTGAGTGTATTATATATGGCTATCATTGACTTCTCCTTTACAAAAAGATGTCAGCTCTCAACTGTTGTATTCTTTTTTACTGTTTACTTTGGGTTAGAAATGGATGTCCTATTTTTTCTGATATGATTGTTCCTTATATAGAAAAACTAACCATTATGTTATAAAGAACTAAAGGAATATATTATAATGGTTTATATAGTGTAAAGAAACTCCAAATTCTGCAACATTGTAAAGAAATTTACTAGTGTGAAGGGTTTCAAAATATGTGTATAGACTTTTCGTTAATATTATAAGACTTAAAGTATCATAAATGTTTCTAAAAATGATCA